CGGACGTGTGCTAATTAAGATAAGTTGATTTTAATTTTAATTTTGTTGCGTAAGTAAGTAAGAGATATTTTAATAACTACGATAACGGAGCAACAGTTTGAACGTACTTGCGATCGTAATAACAGCCGGCACTCGAATAAAAATAATATTACTTATAAATAAACTCAATATGACTCAATAATGTATATGTAAAATAATATATAGTTTTTTTTCATTGCATAATATTTATAGTAAAATTTTTTTTTAATTGACTAAAGGAAAATAATCTAAAAAAAAATATTATAACTGTTGCCTTTTTTTTTGGGACTAGGAAATCCGTTATAATATTTCATGATGTATTACAATTTTTAAACTGCCCCCCCCCCCCATTGAGCTCCAAATATACCACTACTTTATTACATAGTTCGCTATTTGTATCAAAGAAGAATACCACAAAACGCAGGTGAATCACCATGCCTCAATGTTTTAATGATATTTATAATTTCATTTTCAAAGAAATACTTGTATTCAAGTTCAAGTTTAGGTTGATAGTTAAACATAAGTAAATTGTGTATTATGTATTTTTTTTTTTTTATAAGTGTATTAATATTAAACTTTGGTTTGAAAGAAATCATAAAAATAACGGCATTTTTTATCGTTTCTATTTGGTAGGTATACGTGGAAAAAACAATTTGGCTGAACAAAAATACTTAAAAATTTAACACAAGATTAATTTAAAGTTGTACTTAGTGGTCAAAAAAGGAAATTTGAATTAAATGTTTTAATGTTTTTGATAAGCATTTTTAGATCAAATTACGGTATTTCAAAATTTGTCTTATCAAGTTACACTCCGAATCGTTTTTCGTTAGCAATGGTTTATCGTTGTGTACAAATTTAAATTAAATAACTTTATATGTCATACCTTCCCATATTTCTAACTTCCCACCTACAACGATGAGCTGAGGAGTGGCGTCATGTCACCTCCTAACAAAATGCTATCTTAACCTAACCTGTATATGTCCTTGAGCCAATGGCAGGGTCTTCTATATCAATAATTTCTTCACTTTATCAATTCTACATCTATATTTAATACATACTACAATGTCGCTGTTTTAATTAAAATTATTATCTTTTATTTTGTATGAGTTAAATCTGCCAATATTTATATTAGCAATACAAATATTAAGCTAAGATTCAGTTAGGGTCTATATCAGTGCTTCCCAACTGGTGTTCCGCGGAACCTAAGGGTTCCGTGAGCCGGCGCCAAGGGTTCCGTAAAAAATTTGAGAAATATAAATTATTTAAAAATATTTCTAATTTGAATTATGATTCGAACATAATAGGCAAATAGCTCCTCTTCTCGTTAGGACGTTTCCTTATCTTATGATAAAATATTCGTTATAACGTTAATAACTCCATAACAATATTGAAAGTTGTCGATCCATATATATTTATAGCTTATATTACCAGGTATTAATTTATCTTATCTGCAGTCATTAGCGAGCAGTCGGCCGATGGGTCTCGTCACGTTAATAATGCCATAATAATATTGTTGGTTGTCGATCCATACATATAATTATATTTGATACTAGGTATTCGTTTATCTTCTCTGTAGTCATTAGCGAGCAGTTGGCCAGTGTGTCTCGTCATTACAAAATACTTGTTGTCATTTTTAATTTTAACGTTTGAATTTTAGTGTTCAATTATTACTATCACGAATAACTCTCATTTTCTGTAAAATCTAACATTTTTTGTCGGTGCAGTTTTGGTGCCGGTTCCTTCATAATTTTTACTGAAATGGACACATGGCTCAAAACGGGGCGATTATTATCAGTAGAGAAGGCCGGTTTAACATCTACATGTAAAAATCACACTTCATCTGTTCCATTGGAAAACTCGACTTCTCACTGTGAAGCTACTCCTCTCCAAAAAGCTACTATCGAAAATGGAACATCTCTAACTAAGGAATACACTCAAATCAATTGTTCAAAAGTTAAAAAAAGACGATATGATGAAGAATATTTATCTTTTGGATTTATTCCCATTAGAATTGACACGTTTCCTGATGTGAGATGCGTAGTTTGTGAGTAAGTTCTCAGTAACAGTTCTTTGGCTCCTGCGAAATGATATAGATTCTATATCATTTCGCCGCCAACGTCTCGCCGCTATCGATTCGCTACCATCATCTCGCCGTCGTCCATTTCGCCGAAGTTCTTTTCACCTCTGTTCATTTCGCCGACAACGTTTCATCGTCATTGTTTCGCTGCGAGAATTTTTTTTTCGTTTGAAACATAGCGCCGTTTGATTGTTTTTAACATACAATGGGGACTAGTATATTATGTAGATCTGTCAGACTTAATTTTCTCAGGATACGTTATAATTTGCATACGTATAAGTAATGTGTATATTTTCATAATCAGGGGAGTGACCTTGAAAACATATTAAAAGTCAAGGGCAATTATTTACCCATGCAACGAAATTGTCTGCTGCTTCCTTGACACTTGAAAAGTCACGAGCATTAAGTTTAAGCTCTTCGAGTGTTGCCTGAACCATTTGATAAGGTGTCATATTTACTCTATGACCTTGTAAATACTTAAAAAGTGGAGTAGTTTTTTGAAAAATCCGCAAATAAATTTGAGCTGTTTAAACAGTTTCATACTTACATAATCCTTCTATTAAACCTATTGTTTTAAACCAAGCATTAGCTGTAATAGAAAGATTATTTTTAATCTCAATTAATGTAGTTATAAGTTTCACAAATAAACCAAGTCCTGGATTCTTGAAATGATAAACTTTAGATAATACACTATGATTAGACCACCATCTAGTCACACCTATATAGCATATTCGTTTATTCTTTTCTTTATTAGTCCTCATATCCATACGCTTATGGGATTCTTTAATGAAAACAGCACATCCATTGAGTATTCCAAACAAATAATAGACTGAAGAATTTTATTAGCTATATCATCAATAACTAAGTTTAAAACATGAGCGTAACACCATATATGTATTTGATTTTTTGCCATATTACTCAGCTGAGCAGAAAATCCACAGTATTAAAGTAATCCACAAGTAATAAACAATCTGTATCATTTACTAGACACAATAAGAATATATGATAAAAGTTAACAGGTCATGAGGTTTTGATGAAAGAAGCCACCCATTGATAACACTTTTCATTAGCTTAAAAATTTAATTTAATTGAGAAAATCACGACACTACTTACGCTTCGAATCTCTTTGAGGATTTCCAGGTATTGTGGGAGTGGCCAAGTTTTTTATAAGTTAATTTGGATGATGATTTAAACGGTAATTGAATCTTTTATAAAACATTTTTGCTTCGTCGTTTATTGTTTTAAGTTTTAATTCAATGTGAAGTGCATGATTTGATACGTAGGGTGGAACATTTATCAGTTTTGTGATCGCTATGTTTTGAAAGGTTTGGATTTTTAAGATGTTTTTCTTTTTTGCATTGCCCCAAAGCTAAAGTCCGTAAGTCCATAGTGGTTTTAATAGTGTTTTGTATATAAACAGTTTTGTTCTAATGGAGGTGTATTTATTATTAAATAGTGAGGGTTTGAGCAAGCGGAGACGATAATTCAGAGTTAATCTTTTAGTTTTGATGTGATGAGCCCACGTTAATCTTTGATCTAGAGTAAGGCCTAGGTATTTGATTTTTGGAGAATAGGGAATTGGAATGCCGTAAAGAATAACACCAGGACAAGGAGTTAGTCTGAGGTTAAAGATTGTGTGAACGGATTTATTCTGGTTAACTTTAAATCGCCATTTTGTAAACCATTTTTCCATAGCGTTAAGATGAGTTATAGATTTATTGATGCTATGATTGGATCTTTATTAATGAATTTTAGCACTTTGTCATCAGGGTAGTCAGCTACTAATATTTTGGGGGTAGTAGGTTGGTCAGACGCAAATATCATTGTGATGATAACAAAATTGTAATTTATGAATTTAATTAATTTTATATTGTAATAATAATCATATCCCCAATCTGTCTGGAGTTTTATTTTATGCCATCGTAAAGTAAGTGATCTACAGCAGGGATGGGCAACCCAAATTTACAAGAGCCAATTTTTGAAAAATCAAATCTAGGTGGGTCAGAGCATAGCAAAAAAAAAAAAATCATTCAACTTATAAATATTTAAATTAGCATTCATTTAGCATAATTTAAATTAAAATATATCATGCTAAAATAACCTGGACTTAGAATTATATATCAAACTAAGCTCTGGCGATCCAAAAGAATACACTGATGACCCAGAATCTTACTGAGAACAAATACCAGAAGACACTATAAAAAATGTCTTAAAACGAAATGTTTAAATAAAGTTCTATTAATATTTTATACTCTCATGTTTTTTGTCATAATCTTAGACATAGTGTAAAAATCAAAAAGTTTAATTTCGTGAATTATATTATTTTTACAAACTATTTGAATAATATTTTAACTTATACGATTTGCCATAAATCGCATGTTCTTCACCCATACCTAAAATCAAAATTTAGAAGTTCTTGTTCCTGTAATTACAATCGAAATACGCATGTTAGAAACATAAATTTCCTGCACATGAAATAATATCCTACCCGACGTGGTTTTTCGCTTAACAAATCGGGTGTTATTTTTGATTAATTTTCTCCGTTCTTTTATTAGGCTCCTTTCTGTTTCGAGCCAAAATACCTAAATATATTAAAGTATTAATTTAGTATTTAAATATGGATATAGAAGTTAAGTATTCAAGATATTATCATTTATCTATATTATCTGGGATTTTGTTGGTTGGCATGATCTTTTTTATTATTATCAGGTACACTGTTATCAATTGTTATTGAAATTGGGAGTACTGTACCTATCCCAGGGATTTTATTATTATAGTTAATTATATAAACGTGTTCCAGTGTGTGAAGTTTCGTTTTGAGGACAGAAACACGCGAGATAATAAACGAAGTGTTTTATCTAATTAGCTCGGATTACAAATTTGCTCTCTTAAACAATAAGCCCTATATCAGCCTATCTCGTTTGATTCGTTCAGACCGATTACTCTTCCCAGTTGCATAAGTTTATGAATACAACTTATATTTAGAAAACTGATTTTATAGTAGTCAAAAAGTAATAAAATTGATTGAAGTATTGCACTAAAAAATATCGATAGTTACGTCTAAAAATTTAAAAATTTTACTAAAAAATAATGTATTTTTTTACAAATGGAAAACTTTGACTCAATTTCCAGCATATTTACGAAACAATAAAATAACTAAATAAAAAAAATAGTATTCTCTTAGTTAGAACTAGGGTTCAAATACTACACGAAATTGATGGATGAAATACCTTTTCTTTAATTTTCATTTCAAACTTATATGAATTAGGCAATGAAAAATACTTATAAATTGTTATTTTATATCTGGCCCGACCTACTGCGGTTTAGGTTTACTACTTCTACTCTTGGTCAGATTGAGGATTTCAATAGTTTAAAACCTTCTCTGGACAATACAGATCATTTTGTGAAAAAACCATGTAAAAGTTGGGCTAGTAATTTCAGAGAACATGCATGACAAAGATTTCTATTTCAAATTTATATATATATATATAAAATTGTACATAAAATTACGTGAACAAATAGTTAAAATTATGTTATAAATGAGTAAAATCAATAAAAATTGCACTTTAAACTTTTAGATTTTAATTCGTAATTACACGTAATACATGTAAAAGCTTACTAAGCAACAAATTGGAGCAGTAGAAGAGAAGTTGTACCAACACCCAGGTCCTACCTATATTATTAAAATAGATCATTGGTCTTATTTATAAAGCATTTTCTAAACATGTTGTAAACAGCCATGTTGTTTCTGGTAATCTCATGGTTATATTTCCTAATTGCTGCATCAGTGGTTTCCAAAAAATGCACCACGAATACTTTCAAAGGACACCATGATTCATAAATTTTGTAAATTTCAAATTGAAACTCATAAAATTGAGTTAGCTGTATGCTTAAAATGCTAATACTTTATTATACTCAGTAAAGTTATAAAACTGATTATAAATAAAAATATGCGTAGATTTTGTATGTATATTCATTGTGGTATACAGGGAAGGGCACCATGGCTGAATTTAGACCAAAAAATAGTACCACTGAAAACCGCTCGGCTTCACAATCTACACGATACAAGTGATACAATTACAAAGCACTTTCTAGTTTAGCATTTGAATGGTACTCCACTACACTCCCTCTACCCAAACTTGAAATATCTTATTAATAAATTAACGGCAATTAAATATTTCAACTTTAACATTTATTTTGATTAAAACATTATTTATTTATGGAATTTTAAATATGAGTTGTATTTCAAAATCATAAATAATTACACTCCCAAATATATGGTTGACAAAAAATAATGGCAATGTAACATTTTGAAGCTACTTGTTTCTTAAAATATGAATTAAAAAAAATTCCAAAAAAGTGAATAATTTTCGAAATAACGAATGTCATACGATAGATTGATTACTCTGTCTATGTACTCCGATGGCTTCCGAGGTTTTAAATCGGATCATTCCAGATCATTTTGCATATAGGTAGTAGATTCAAGTTTATTGTGACAAATGGCACCGAATATTGTCCATTAATGAGGCCTATTTAAAGAGTTGGCTCGTGTTGCGGAGAGTGGAGAATTTTTCCAAATATATCAGTTTTAGCTTAACTAAGCCCTTTCACATTAAGTTGCCTGCTTGAACTAATATCATTTTTTGGTGAAGCCTTAAGAGCGTTATTTTGTAGTCATTAGTAGCTAGCATTGTTAACGAGAGAAACAAAAAAGCACAGTTCGTCGACCAGAAAGTCAGTGAATTTTCAGCCGTCCGAAATGTTAACCGGGGCATATTGTGAGGAATCAATTTATCGTTAAGTCTCTAAATTATAAGTATTAGAATAGTAAATGGCAGTCCATGAAAAAATATAAAGATAACAGGTCAACCAATGAATATGCATTATGTGGTTCGCCACTCTTATTATTTCTAGGTATTATAAATTAATATCATATATATATATATAGAATGGGGGTGTTATATTTTCTATTGATAATAATAATCAGTTTAGTTTCTCTGTAAAACATAAGTTTTAGTTAAGTTTTATTTACATAGATTATGTACAATAATTACAATAATTACAAGATTACCTGTGAAACAAAAGAAACAGCAATTAAAGTTTATTATTATCACTCTTTGCCTTACTCAATTATTCTAAAAATTACTATAAAAAATTCACTTCTGTAATCAAATTTTGCTAGTCATATTATCTATTGTTTCACCTAGCGGGGTTAATTAAAAAGCGTGTGTAATACATGAAGCGCGGCAAATTTTAAATAAAGAAAGTCTTTCTTTACATATATATATATATATATTTAAAAACAAAAATTGTCTTTGCTCGTGACTATGCGTGACAGGTTAAAGAAAATAGTTACATACAAAACCGAGCGGACTGTAGGCCGTACATCATCGAGACACTAAAGTTCTTGTACAACCTGCAGCTGACCCCAACCGTAGTGAATTCGTTGGTGCCGACACTGGCCCGGCCACGTTATCCATTCGAGGTGCTGTTCGCCATTGGTGGCTGGAGTGGCGGTAGTCCGACTGCCATTATCGAGACATATGACACCAAATCCGATCGGTGGGCTCAGATATTTCATGAGGATACGTATGGTCCGAGAGCGTACCACGGCTTGATCGTTGTGGACCATTGTATTTACGTTTTCGGTGGGTTCGATGGGACGGAGTATTTCAACTCTTGCAGGAAATTTGACACCACGACGAAAACATGGCACGAGGTGGCGCCAATGAACTGTAAAAGGTATTTATTGGTACTCCCGGCTTTGGGCCAATTTCCGGGAAGGAAGCCTGGCTGGGATTTCCGGGAATCGTCAGGACTATTTAATATATCCAACAAATAATTTATGTTTATTAAATCATACATAATATTACATTATAAAAATAAAGAATATAGAGGTCATAGGGTTCATAGGCAAAACTAAACATTAAATTGCATAGATTTTTTTTTTTTTAGTTGGATTTTTAAACAGTAATAATATTTTATAAAAAATTGTATTGAAAAATAATACAATATAATATAATCAAACAATTTTTATTTTTTTTTTTTTTTACTGAAAATGTTTAGTATATAATTGCATAATTTACCCATCTGAGTCTGGGGATAGAATAGACCCAGAGCAATCCCAGCTTGGCGTAAGAGGTGACCAAAGAGACTGGAGAATGCAGGAGCTTCCCTAGTATTGGATGTAGGTTGAAATCAAGGAGATTGGTACAGTTACATGCCAAAAATTTGTAAGCAAAGATGGCACCCATCTAAACTGTTAAAAAACTGCGAGGTGGAAGGAAACCGGAGACCACCACCTTATTTTTCCTAGTATCTGGAATTATGGATTGCCAACTCAATGTAAAAGATTACGGACTAGTTTGCCAGTTGGATGTCCGGGTGGAGACTGCCTTGAGTAAAACAAAACAAAACTATAAAAGTGTAGGCACATGGAATGTTAGGTCCTTGAGAATAAGCGGAAAGTTGGAAAATTTAAAGCTATAAATGAGAAGATTAAATATTGACATTATTGGAATAAGTGAAGTAAGATGGCCAGATCCTGATGATTTTTGGAGTGAGGAGTATAGATTAATTTATACAGATTCGAACAATGGATATATTGGTGTTGGCACCATCATGAATAAACAGTGTAGGGAAAATGTGATCAGTTACTATCAATGTTCAGATAGGATCATCATAGTTAAAATTAATTCTAAACTTGCTATTAAAATGATTATCCAAATATACATGACAATATCATCACTTAATGACGAAGAAGTTGAAGAAACATATGATAAAAAAGATGAAATAATGGTGATGAATAAGGCAGGAGAGAATGTTATAATCCTTGGTGACTGGAATACAACAGTAGGCAAAGGAAAAGAAGATAACATAACGGGTAGTTATGGCTTGGGAAACAGAAATGAGAGAGGGGAACGACTAATACAGTTTTGTACACAGCAAAAATTGATAATTGCAAACATTTTTTTCCAATACCATAAAAGAAGAATATATACCTAGAACAGTCCGAGAGATACAGCGAGATATCAAATTGATTATATTATGACCAAACAACGTTTTAAAAAACAAATTAAACAATGCAAAACTTATCCTAGTGCTGATATTAACAGCGATCATAACTTAGTTATCATGGAAACGCAACTAAAGTACAAAAAAATTAAGAAAGGTGGAATTACTAAAAAATGGAATTTAGAAATATTTAAGAAAGATGAGAAAATAATAGAATTTTAAAGAGAAATGTAAGAAAATGTTTGAGAACCCTTCCAGTGTTTTTTTTATTTAAAATAATATTTTTAACTTTTTGCAAAACTTTAAAATTATTATTTTTGGTTCAAATCTTTTGAAGAAGTAGCAGATCTCTAAGTTTGAAAAATTTAAACCGTATGATCGCAGCTTCCGTACAATTATTATATTGATATGAAAATCCTACCTTAAATTGTTACCTAAAACAATTCCTAAATAACGAATTTTTTTTATTTCTTTAATTTGGTGGTAATTTCGCCTATTACAACCTAAATTACTCTTACAATTATGAATAGATAAGGGAGGGAGGGCGGTAATCATGGTCAATACATTTATTTTTTTGAGAATCGTAAGAACATAGTTTTATCGTAATTTAAAGTTAACGCTCTACCACTTAGGTATTTATACGTTATTATTTCCTTTCGTTGTTTTTTGGAAGTCTCTTTCATGTGAGTTGTTCGAGAATGGGCAAGTGTCATCCACAAACGTCACTATTTTACCTTCAATATTAAAACCACATATATCAATAATATAAAATAAAAAAAGAAATCGGCCCTAAGACACTACCTTGCAGACATGGCCGGCGAAAGCAATGGGAGACATGGACAACTGTCCAGGTCACCAGAACGTAAGGAGCGCCAAACTGAAAATTATTTCAATTTAATTTATCTTTTGATAAGCAAAAACGAATAAAATTATCAATAATTTACACAATCTGAAATATGGATTATCCATATTTAACTTTAAATGAAGATACATGCTGGTTTCAGTTTAAAAATAATAAATGTAATTATACCGCCTCCATTAGCAATGGCTAATCGTTGCTTACTGATGTACGTTCAATTCTCGTCTGTATCCTATCTTCCCAACTTCCTATTACATCAACAGTGGCGGCATCCACGTGAGTGGTATTTTAATTAATTTGTATTATATGTATCTATTATATTTTGCAATTTACCGTATACAAACTCAAATACGTTTTTCTTCAACTAAAAGAAAACCAAATCATTTTTTTATCGTTATCGGCCATCAATCGTTTTAAAACATTATTGGATAATTCGCAAAAAAAAAATTACGTAAAAAAAATGTTTATAGAAAATAGCTTTAAAAAAAAAAAATAAAATTGTGTATAAATATAAATTTAATTTAGTTTAAGGAATTTGATATAATAATTTCTTAAGTTTTCTCATCAAATGCGAAAAACAGAAAAAATACGAAATATATTTGAATAATATTATTACGATTTTTTTTTTGTGGACAACTTTTCTACCACCAATTATGCTTTAACGTTTAATGATAGGATTAAATCTGAAAAGTAATTTCACTGCAGAGATACTTTAAAGAGGCCTTTTTTTTTGTTTTCTTAGCAAAGGTGAAAATTTGGGATAAAAACATAAAAAAACCGGGAAAAACGTAAGAAAAGGGAGGAAATCGGTAAAGCATTAAACAAATATTATTTTAAAGAAAATATATAGAGCCTATTAAATTATTTTACTATAATATGGCAAATATTTTGTTAACAAAACATCACTATCAACTGAAATCCAATTAGAATCGTTTTTTCGTAAGAAATGGCTGATCGTTGCTTACAAATATATATTAAATTCCCATCTGTATTCTACTTTCTAAACTTTCCGCCTACACTAGTGGCTTCACCCATCCCCATTTTCTTACCTTTTTTCAAATACTTTTGAAAAATTTGTTTTTTGTATAATGTTTTGATAAATGCTAATTTTAATTTATCCGAAAATATACTATTTTCGATACTTAAATTATATAAATGTACAAGTGGATTTAAAATTAACTCAGAAATACATTTTAAAATTTTCACCGTTACTCTATCACACCCTGCAGCAGTATCATCACTTAAAGTTATTTATAATATTGTTTGTAGGTACCTCTAGAACCTCAATATTTTTTAGCTACTTACCTAAACTAAAAATTGCATTATAACATCTTATAATTATACCTATTGATCGTAAATTACACTTCTACGTTATCAAATCTTATATAGCTAAACTAGAAGTTAGGATACTTACAAAAACAACTAAAAATTAGGTGGCTTCGATTCCTAGAAGGTTGAAAACCACCATTTCAGAAAATCGTGGATTGGAAATATAAAAAAAAAACATAATATTACTTACATTTTCACTGTTTTTCTAATATCTCAATTATTTATTTATGCAAGTATGTTACATAATTTTAAATAGTTTTTAGAATCCCGGAATTTCCGTTCCCGAGACTTCAAATTCCCGGGAATCGGAAACCTTCCCTAGAATTTTCAAAATTACCATCTCTAATTGGGACAGCGAGGGGCTATGTTATCATACATGCGGTCTGCGCATTTGTGGTTATATTTAAAAAAACTAGATGTTTTTAAAACTGTTGACCATACTTTTAATCATACCTAACTACGAATACTGGGGTTTTGCGTCATTTCGATGCGAGACAATTGGGCGCGTACGACATTTCGACGCGGTTTTTTTTATTAAATTATTATTTAATTAATAAATTAATATGTTCCTATAATTCTATATAAGTGTAGTCAAAAGTATTGACAATTATTTCTATAATTTCATATGTATACAACTTTAAATTGTGTGCAAGACCTGTTAATATTTCATCAGTCGATAAGTGTTGGTTATTTTCAACTATGTGTAATAATCTCTTTGCCGAATACTTATATTTCTTCTTTTTTTTTTTTTTATCACACATCTAGCAATGAATTGTTCTTTTAAACATTTTATTTATGTTTTATTCTCACTTAAATATGTTTATAAATTTCTAAATTACTGGTTTTATATAAAATTTAACAGTGACGAAAATGTATTATAATACCATCTACTTTATTGTTAGTCCTAAAAAAATCATTTTTAAGGCGAATAACACAGTTCCGGACTTTAGTTGGAAATAATGGCGCTCGATTTCTACCTCTTCTATTAAAAATTTCAATTCACGTATATTTGAAATAAGTGATAGGTAGTGTTAATATGTTTTCGTTTTAAGTGAAATAATCACTTTCTAGTAATACTTCAAACGAACTAATTATTTTTTCCAATAGACATAAAAACAAGTGTTCCTAATTTTTTAATTTGCCTCCAATAGTTGTCTGAATTAATTTAAAAAAATAATAACTATGCATTTTTGCGTTCGGCAATTCAATTAAAATAGCATTCGTTGCCGCTTTTTTTAAAATCAGGATATAAATTGTACTTAAAAGACTTATAGTTTTTTATCATAGTGTCCTATGGTATTGTATTTCGGGGTAACACTTGATACTCATATTAAAAAATTACATACAATATTAAATAAAATTTTGTTCATTACCTATGGTCGTTGTGAGTCCATCAGATATTTTATCACAATTGAAAACATTTGTAATGTTCTAGCAGTAATTTCACTGAAAATGTACAAATATAAATTATTATTTATTCAATCTATGTTATCTGATTGTTAAATGAATCAATTCAATGTTGTTCATTACCTAAATCAATAATTGTATAATTGCATTTATTCTATGTTTACTGTAATCGTGCAGTTTTTTTTTTTTTTTTTGCAACAACGTGACATAATCACAAACTGATAACTAAATAATAATATTTTATTAATATTATCTGTATTTTTATGTGAGTAGTTGTCATTTAATGCAGATTGTGTGTTATCAAAATGAAGTTGAGAACATTTTTAAACAATGTAAACGACAAAAATGGCGTAGGTATACGTTTATTAAAAATTTGATCATATCGTTTATGATGCCAAATGGCATTTATGCAAAGGAATTTGCCCTTACCTACTAATATTATTGTATTTTTCAAATTATAATAAACAGCTGTTAAATTATTATAGAAATAACAGCACGAGTTGTAAAGATACAGAATGCTGTCCTCTATATGAAGAATAACAATAATGCCGTTTACGACATTTTGCCTTTTCACCATCTATATTCTAAAGGCATTTTGTGTAATAGCTATTATGTGTCATATTGTAGCACTTGTATTAATTATTGAGTAAATTTATTGTTCTGAACTGCAGTTAAAAAGATGAACATGTGAAAGCGGAATTTTCCAAAATTAAAATATTTTACCTACATATTAATAATAATCACAATCATAATGTGATACACAATCTTTAGAAATACGTACAAAGTTGTATTTAGTATCTTAAAAATATCACAAAATTATATTTATTTCAGAGACTGGAACCGAACCGACTAGAACCGGTTCTGAAACCCAAAACCATTAAAATATTGGGAACCGGAACCCATATTTTGAAATTAAAAACGGGTTTTACAATGATAAATTATTTTGTTTTTTCCTCCGTGGCTTATGATCAATTTATCGGCTATAGTGCTTATACCACAGATTAAAATACGACTACTTTGATAAACTATTTTTATTTTGAGAAATTTATTTCTTGTGAAATCACGATACTCCGTTCAGAATCGTTTTTTCGTTATGAATGGTTTAACATTGCTTACATATTACATTAAATTCCCTTCTGTATCCTACCTTTCCAATATCCTACCTATAACAGCGGCTTGTATGTTTGATTACTACTACTTCAATAATTTAATGTACCTAAATAAAACATTTAATCTAAAGATACTAAAGAATAAATAAAAATATATACATTGATTTATTTTGAAAAAAAATCAATAATAATGATTTAAAACAAAATAACGCATCGAAATGTATGACCGCGTCTATATGGCGCTCGTCGAAATGACGTAGATTCGAATAAACTAACAATAATATAAA